AAAAAAAAAAAAAAAACTCACTGCCATCAAGTCAATTCCAACTCATAGTGACCAACCTCTTTTGGATTTCCAAGGCAGTAAATCATTACAGAAGTAGGCTGCCTGGTCTTCTTTCCACCACAGTGGGTCTTGGGTTTGAACCACCAACCTTCTAGTTAGTAGTCATTTACCTTAGGTACTACACCCCCAGAGCTCCTTCATAAACCTAATAGATGGATCAAAAGGGTTTGAAAGCTATTCTAGTCTTATGAGAGGTGCATAGTAGGGAAACATTCAGCCTCATAACACACTTCTCTTGGGGACTTCTTTGTAGGTGGGAAAGATGAGAAAAATCCTTGGGTATATTTAGTCCTAGAGACCTTTACTGACTGAACAAGAATCAGTAATAACCCCAAGTAAGAAAAACTGTTAGATCATTTGGCATATTCCAGTGAGCCTTCACACTGTCATATAAACTGTGAATAGAACACTCCTCCTCTAAACTACTATTGAATGTGAGATCTGGAAAACAATAGGAAATTTTCATGTTGTTTGTTGTTGTTGTTTTGCCTAGTCGGCCCTGACTCATAGGTAAACTCAAATTTCTGCAGCTGTGATCCTAGCTCTACCTCTAGGAAGTAGAAGATTTACTGCTATAAAGTGAAAATAAGTTTGCCACAATTACATCCATCATGTCATTAGCCACTAGAGCAACAACTCTAGGATTATTAAAGTATACAAAACTTATACATATGCACATATCTATAGATTTTTTTTTCATAGACTATTTCTAAGTAAACAAGAGAGAGACACATGGCATTTCTAGAAAGGAGGATAAGAATCATTTAGAGTAGGTAGTTTCAAGATTTCATTAAAAGGATATTTCACAGCTAATTTATTTAGATGAGTTAGCTGTAATTATCTTACATGAAAGGAGAATCCCTAATGAGGTGATGCCTAAAAGTTTTCTGGATTGGAGGAATTGCATAAGTAATTGCATGACTAATTCTCCTTACCTTGGGTCTCCTGCCAGTAGCCTTTTCAGAGCCCACTTAACCTCTTTGTTTCTCAAGGTGTAGATCAAAGGATTGAGTGAGGGAGTCACTACAGTATAGAAGAGGGTGAGGAATTTACTATGCTTCTGTGTGTACTTGCTCTTAGGTTGTACATAGACAGAAATTGAAGTCCCAAAGAATAAGAGCACTACAATCATGTGAGACCCACAGGTCCCAAATGCTTTGCTTCTACCTTCAGCTGATTTTATCCTTAGCACACTCCTCACAATGCAGCCATAGGAGACCAAAATAAGTCCTAGAGGTATAATCACATACAGCACACTAGCTACAGAGAGCTCATTTTCCAGGAAGGTTGTGTCCACGCAGGCAATTTTAATGAGGGCAGGTTCCTCACACATAAAGTCATCCACTATGTGGTGGCTGCAGAGAGGCAACTGGAAAATGAGGATGGTCTGAACTGTGGACTCCACAAAACCACTGATCCAAGCCA